CGCGAAAAAGTCGATAAAAAGGAAAAAATAAGTCAAAAATTTTGCGAAAATATTTATTGTTGGGTTACGGTAGCACTCGTTTGCCGGCTGTGTTTTCAAAAATTCTCCTTGAAATACGGTGGCCTAACTTGTGTGAAAATTCGGCCACAACTCCAATTTTTTTTGCACAAGAATAATAGTACATATTGAGCCAATTATTCCCGTTCAGTCAACTAACAAAAGACTCATCATAATACTATATCAAAAACTTGATTCAATTAATTTTTTTCAATCTTAAGATTTTCAAGTTATCATCGTCAAACAGAGATTTCGATTTTATAAAAAAAAAGAGTTTTAATTTTCATCGACTTTATGTGACTGGCTTCAAGCACTTTTTTTTTTAATTTTTGGATTAAATGCATAACAATAGTTCACTTGCTATGAGATATCATGTGCTTCTTGAAACAGAAAAAATTTTTCAAAATCTTGTTCCAGATTCTCGAAGAACTCGTCCAAAAACAAATTGAAATCGAAGAAGCCGCGGCAGAGAATGCCGTTCTGTTTGTGGCTCATGACGCCAACACTCAGACCGATATTCTTCTACAGTAAGTTTTAAATTTAGTCTGAATATCTAATTGGGGGTATTCAGAGAAGAAAAGTGTCATCAAACCGATGAGAAGCAGTACGGAGAGGACGCAACACAGACCGAGGCAATGCAGTTGGATAATGTGAGTTTTCTGTAGAAAAACACCAAATGAAATGTTCATTACAGAAAATGTTTGCCAGATGAAAAAGTATTAAAACAGGGTATTTTCGTATATTAGAAGTTCCCATAAAAATCGTGAAATTAAAAAAAAATATGCCAGAAATTCCTTTTAAAATGTTTTTGTCTTACAGTTAGAATCTGCTACACTTCCAGGAAATTGGTAGCTTTTCTGTGAATACTTAATTTCACGATATATTTTTTCGTGTGTCGTAATTTTTGGTCTCCTAAGACGTACCAAACGTTCGTCATATTCCGAAAACTAACGGAGGAGAACAGGAGAAACAACGAATTGTATTGAAGCGGGTTAATTCAGGACTGGAACGGTCTATTATACTAACAACTGTCATTTCACATTCCTGAAACAGTCAATTTTGTTAAATTTCAAAAAGAGATAACTTCTCAAATTTTCATATCAGTTCATTTTTTCATTGAACCAGCCGAAATTTCCAGCTGGAATGTGAAACTCAAACTGAAACGATTCACAACTCGATCGCCGAGACTCAAACACTTATTGTCGACTACTCGGACTCGGATACAATGACACAGCCAGTGATTTCAAATGTTCGTGTTTTTGGATTTTTCCTTCACTGATTAATTATAGTTAGTGGATGGTATCAAAGAGTTGAGGAACCGGAGGGATTATTGAGTTAAAAACATATGTTTTCTGTTTCAGAAAGTTGTGAAAAATGTATTTTCAATTATAATTGTCAATTTTGGATTTCCTATGGTCGCTCTATTCCTTATCCTTCGATACTATTCAAAAAAAAATCACTCGTACTTGATTAGTCCCTCTAGTTGCATGACCATGCACTAATAATTTGTAGGAGTCTGATAGTCAGACAGAATACGTGCAGACCAAGGAAGAGGAACTTCAAACGTACATCGATACGAATGACATGGAGACGTTGACGGAGATCGAGACGAAGAATGTCAGGATTCAGACGCCACAACCTGTTATTGAGCAGAAATGTGTGCAGACTGATGATTTGGTGAGTTGAAAAGCCAGAAGGCAAATCACTGAAAGTATATGTAGGATGAGATGAATGAGAAGGAATTGAAACTGAGAATTTGATGTATCGGGGTTATGCAGGGCTCGAAAACGGGCGGATCACAGCTTCATTCATGCTTAATATTTATTTAACTGACTAAAATGGATACCATAGAACCTGTTGAGTACTAAAAAATGGTAGTAGTTGAAAAGCGTATCTAGTTAGTGAAAAAAGTCACAGGTCAAATAGAGTGATGATTTTGAGCACGATATCTTTATAGTCCGTAACTTATCTTATAGGAATCTACATATAATATTCATTTTAGTTGGTCTGAAAATATCTAGTCTGAAGGAAGCTATGGTTTAACCCATTTCGCCAATACGATTTCTTTATCTTTCCTGAAATCCTAAAATAGTTTTTTGCCTGTTTTTTGTTGAAGAACGGACGAAAAAGGATTTAAAGGGGCAAAGATTCTCCAATTTTTCGCGTCCCGAAACCTGGTCAATTGAATATTAAAATCGACTAGATAATGAACATTAATAACGAATCCCCTTCTTAAACTGAGGTTCAAATTGCACTTTTGTAGCTGAAAGAAAATCTCAAAGAGCGAAATGAATCATTTAGAGTAATCTACATACTGTTTCTTGAGATTTTCACTTTTAGGTGAATTTGAGTATGAATGTTCAGTACTTCATTCACATCAGCAACCACATATTCCACTTTCAGCACGAAGACCGAAAGTCTCCATCAAAAATGTCATCTGCCAAAAAACGCCTACGACGAGCGTTCGCCGGAAAATCGAAGCCGACTCGAAACAGTTTAGAACATCCGGTGATGAGTGATTGGAAGGATGTGGAGGAAAGTGAAACACAACAAGATGAGGAAGAAGAAGAATTGGGATCTGTGGAGAGTCTTCATTGGGATCCAGTTGATGGAATGCATGCGGAGAAACAGTTGCCTGTCAAAAAGCTGAAAGCATTGTTTGATTCTCCAAAAGGACAACGGAAATTAGAGTGAGTTTTTTGAATGGAGATGAGAGAGAATGATCAGGTTATGATGATTTTTGAAATGGTCGTGAACCAGCATGAAACATCCGATTGGGACATGAAATATGCTTTTGTGATATACGACGATAAAGGATAATTTTGGTGAATGTACAAACGTTAAGAGCATTTTTGAGAACTTTTGAAGCTTCAGAAATGTTTTTGACTGATTAAAAAATTATATACCGTTTTGAAAACAAAGTATAAATATAAAATTATAAGCGGTTTCCAATAAAGCATCTTCACTGAGGTCCAAGATAACGGGTCAGAAATCGCGCCCCAGTAAACGTGAAATTGTAGAAAAAAATCGCTGCTGATATTGAATTATGTGGCTGAGGTTCAAAATTTTAAACGATCAACGAAAAAATCACGCGTTGCAACGCGTTGATTAAAATTAATTAGGTCAGATCCACGCCGACTTTGAGATTATTAAACTTCTTCTGGCCTAAAAATCTGGGACGCGTTTTTTGACCCGTTGCTTTGGACCCAAGTGCGTCAAAAATTCCAAATCTGTAATTTTAACATTTTCTACTTTTAAGCTGAACCAAAAATGCAATTCTATATTTCTGAAGCATTCAGCCATCTATTTTAAATTTTCATGAAGATTGAAATATGTAGCCTATAATTTAAAAAAAAGACAAAATAACAGCATCTAGAAAAAATAATATTGGAGATTTAAGATCAGATGAATCAATATTTTGCGAATTTTTTTGGACTTTTTTTATACGAATATGAAACCGAAGATATTCTTATTTTATCAAATAAAGTTGAGCTTAAAAATGGTGGATTTTGAAATTTTTTCTTTTGAAATCGCATGAAATAGAGTATTCTAAACATTACTGTAAAAAATAAAAATATCAAGTTAAAAAGTACCAATCGGAATCTCCCATCTGCTTCCCCCTGCTTCTGAAACCTCAAATCCCTATTGTATCGCATCCCAAAACTCTTCCTCCCTTGAAAATGAAAATTTCCTCCATTGTCCGTCGATTTGGCATGCGTTGCGGGTTTATTTGCAGACGACGAGTATCGTCATTCAATAAAAAACGAGAGAATTCGAGGTCCCGAAACAAATCCGAGTAGCTGGATGGTGCATCGAAATCCCTGAACCCAGAAGACGTCTTCATCAATAAATCTTTTTGTCTGAATAATTTCCTCCTTCTCCCTCAAAGATCTCATTCTGTTCTTTCATTTTCCATTTTCATTTCTGCTTCATCTTTTTCATTTATGATTTTCTAACTTTTTTTCTAATTTTGTTTGTATTTTCTAATTGTGTCCTTATTTATTACTGTGTTTCTTTATATCATAAACTTGTTTCCTTTCTTCATTTTGTTTACTTCCGTCCACGATGAAAACAGTTACAGTATTTTACTGTTTTAAGCTCAAACCAGGGCTGGGAAAATGAAACGCCGGCGGCTAGAAAACAGCTGCCACGTGTCGGCGTGAAGCCGGCTTTCAGCTGCCACGTTTTCGTCTGCCGCCGGCTTTTTTAAAAACCCGGTCAGTACGTTTTAATTATTTACGTCAAATTTTAAACGTCTTTTTCAAAATTCTCAAAAATTTTTTGAGTAATTTTTTGAGAACTTTGAAAAAGAAGTTAAATTTTTGACGTATTTAATTTAAACGTATTGACCGTGTTTTCAAAAAAGCCGGCTGTCGGCGGCGGCGCCCCGTGGAAGCCGAAAAAAAAGCCGGCGTTTTTTCGGCTGCGTGTAACGCCGGCGTTTTTCAGCGACAGCCGACTTTTTCCCAGCCCTGGTTCAAAATGGGTCCTGGGTCCTGGGTTCTGGGTCCTGGGTCCTGGGTTTTTCCCCCAAAAAAGTCGGAAAATGAAATTTTTGATACGGAAAAATTTGAATGACAACACACGAAAATCGATGTGATAAATATGTTTTTAGGTTACGGTAGTTGTCGCTGTGAGACCTTCGGCCACGGTCACCGGATTTTCTCTTCCACAGATCAGACTTTTTGTATCGGTATCGTCGAAATGAAAGAATGATCGTCGAAAAAGAAATGACTTTCCTTCAAAACTTGAAATCAAAAAAAAATTTGGTACTGTTCTAGAATCACGGAACGAAAAAAAAATCACGGAACGAACATTTTGGGTTATCCATAGAATTGCTATCTTCTTCACTTTGACAAGTAGTATCCGTAATACTAACTTTGAATTTTACCTTGTCCAACGCCTAAAAGTATACTAAAAAAAAGGGTATATCAAATTTTTAAGACACGCTAGTTAACAGGTTACATAAGACCTTTAGAACATCTGAAAATTTAGTTCAAGGCTACATCGAGCAGTTATTGAGCTTTCTGACGTTTTTGAGTGTTCCAGATAAAGGGGCGTTTCAGCCTAAGGGTGTGATTGAAAAAATCTTCCTCAATCCAAAAATATCATCCAATTTTTGAAAAATGAAAAATCCGAGGAGAGCAATTTCATGCCAAGATTTCGTTCCGTGATTTTTTTTCGTTCCGTGATTTTTTTTTCGTTCCGTGATTCTAGAACAGTGACAAAAATTTATAAATGGTCCTTTTTTATAATTTGAACATTCGATTTGTATTGCTCAAGAGTTCTGTTTCATTGTCATAAAAAAAGGGATAACACTCCTAAAACGTTCAATTTCACATATAACAAGTAGTGATTTTCAAAAGTTTTAATTTTGGGAAAAATATTCAGAAAGTGTTAATATTTCTGTTATATTTGTTGAAAAAACACGTTGCTCCCATAAACTTAACGGTCCATCTTTTGGGAGATTCATAAGATTCACGTGGCTTACAAAAATTTTCGAAATTTCAGTACTTTGATGTGAAAATTAAAACTTTTGAAATTCACTACTTGTTATATGTTGTTGTTGCAATTTAAAAAAAAAGTAAAGCTTATTTTTCATCGTTTTGACTAATCTTCTTATGCCAACAAAAAAAAAGATGATAAATTTATTCATACAATTTAAAAAATATTTTTAAAAGTTCCAATTTAATTAATACTTAAAATTGAGCATCTCATGAAGCATTGAATCACAGTTAAGCACATCGAAAAACGTCAACATCACATAGGAACTTGTCAATTTTTGAGTGGATTCCTGAAAAAAGGAAAATTCAGAGAATAGCAAATTGAAAAAAAGAGTATTACCATGATATAATTCATGCTCATCAGCAGTTCTCCAACTCGTCTCTCTCCGTTTTCCCTTTGAGAATGACACATTTTCGAGAGGCAGTCGATGATGATGTTTCGTTGACGACGACATTTTTCACGACCGGTTTCAGTGAATTTGTAGTAGGCTGAAAATGTACTTTTGTTCATTGATTCATAACTTTGTGAACTTTTTTTGTAATATAAATGTAATAGAACTATCGTACCCACTAATCTGATTACCTCCCTAACATCCGATATATTTTTTTGAATTTCTAAATTTTTCTGGAAATTCCGAAAGTCGCGGTTATAAAAAAACGTATGGTTGGGTAGCTGAAAAAGTTCAGTCATATTTTACAACAACAAGTTTACATATTTTGGTGAGTTCGAGGTACAGAAATTCGTTGAAACACTCTTTTTCGCTTAAAAACTTGCTCAAAATTCACAGATTTTCCTGAAATTTGAACGAGAATTCACCGAATTTTTAATGAAAACTTTCCGGAAAATGAATGAAATGAAGGACCCTCTGGAGCATACTTGTAAAACTGGGCCGTCTCGCTAAGGCCCGGGCCTGGAGAAGTTTTTCGTTTTTTAGAAGACACAAATATTGATTGAATTCCAAAAAACTTATACAACGTTTTGTTGGAAACCCAGCTACATTTAACAAAAAAGTTTTCAATGATTCGACAAGTTTGAGCAAAGTTTGAGCAAAGTCATGAACAAAGTTATGAACAGCAGTATAGAGTGACATTCACTAACTTTCGCCACATAACAAAATTGTGAATAAAATCTACGCTATTCAAAATCACATGAAACAGGATTTTCTAAAAATAAATATCACTTACTCATTACTGTTTCGCTTCTTCAAATGATTGCTTTACATAGTTTGCTTGCTATGTATGAAAAAGTTTGATTTTCTTGAGTTTACATTCACAATTTCCGTACACACAATAATAGAATGACTCCCAGTTAACCACTTTTTGATATCTTTCACATGAACCAAGATAAATTGACTCAAAGGGAAAAGTTAAAAGAGTAATTAAAGCTAGACCTCAGTTATCTCCGCTCTTGTAATAGCTATAATTTCAACTGATAAAATACTTAAAATGTCATCACTATTGTCTATTCAAAATAATCGCGCGAGTGAACGAGTAAAAATGTCTGCGTCTCTACAGCGCCTCTACAGGTTTGGAAACTCTCTACACGTTTTTTTTCATTCGTGCGATTATTTTGAATAGACAATAACTATAAACTTTGTTAGTTGACCTTCATTTCTTATCTCGATAGGAAACGAGATAATTGCTAAGATGTACGGCTTCTGTTTTCAAACGAAAAAGTCAGTTTGGTCATTTCTGGACAGCTTGTCATGAAGATTTTGAAAAAATAATAAAGACATACAATTACTATGAAACAGTGATTTAAAAAAAAGTTCACTCACTACAGTGCCATACTGTAAGCGCCTTTAGTAGACAAAACTCTTCAAAAGAGACATTCATCCTGGCAAACGGCAACACGCTTTCCTCCCAAATTGCAATGTGCATCGGCATGAGAGCTCTGAAAATTGTTCCTATTTATAATAGAAACTTCTAGAACTCACTTATACTTCGAAAAGTCTTCATCCGATGCAAAATACTGTCTGGCATTTGGCTCGTTTCCCGTCATAGGCAGGGGATCCATACACAGGAACTCTCCATTTGTCATTATCATTTGACGATGCGCTTGGCCGAGTCTGAAGAAAAATTAGGCCATGAGAAGAAAAGCTAGGCCACGCCTACTTCGCTGAATAGTAGGAAGAAGATAGGATAAAATCCACAGCTAGAATCAGTCGGTAAAACATATTCTGAAAAAAGAAAGTTTAAGATTTTTAAAGGTCCTCCTCATTTCAAACCTTCTCATGACTTGTAAAAGTGCTAAACTCTGGAAACCTGATCGCATAGTCAAACAGAATCACAAAATCGTGTCTTAGCATTCCTCGAAAACTTCTAAAGTCATGCGGTCTCAAATCGCTGACAGTATACGGACATTGAAGGGTTGAGTGACTATCCAAAATAAAATCCATATCTGTACTTGTATACATAATTCGTCTTCTGGAACAGAGACCAGTTTCCATTGAATGATAGTTTTGGAGAATGGACTGATGGTCTGGGAGAGATGGTCCAGATAATGGATGGATCGTGTTGGAGGAGGAGGGAAGAGATGAGCAATAGCCACCATCGAAAGAAGAGGTTCGAGAATATTCTTCTGTCTGAAAAAAGGAAATTGTTCAAGCTTTAACATTGCTAACTTTGGAGTGATAAACAAAACGTTACCCATAGACCGTTTAGCTGGTGTCACAAATTAACGAAATGAAACAGCAATTTCTTACAAAAATAAGGAATTTTTGACTTATACGACTAATTTTTCGAATCTTTTAAGGTTTGAACTTATAGGTCAGGATATTTTTTTGAGTTCGACCCTGATATAATAAACGAAACTGTCAGTAAAATGTATCTTCACTGTGAAATGGTTTTTGTTCAATTTTCTGTTTCCAATATTAGGTTGGTCGGAAAGTAATGCGCGTTTTTGATGTACTTTATTTTTATTGTAAAAACAAAGAAAGGAAATATTAATCGAGGGGATATTGTCCATCATTAATGACCCCTTACTGCCAACGTATGTGCAAAGATTCGATGCCTCTACGAAAGAGCTCCACTGGCTGTGACTCGAAGCAGTTCGTTACCCTATTTTTCACTTTTTTCACATTCTTGAAGTTTTTCTCGGTGAGATGGTGCTTTATTGATAGAAACAACACGTAGTTGGGTAGTACCACATATCTGCTATAGGGCGGTTAAAAAAGCACTTCCCAGCCCTACACCGAAAAAAATTTTGAGCAATTTTTTCGGTGTGTAGTCGAGAATTGCCGTGAACCAGAAACTTTGCCGATGTGCCCACTCCTTGCCGTTCGAACACCAGGTCCATGCGGTACAGTTACACTTTGTCACGATCAGTAGTCACTATTTGACCATGCTTTAAAAATTCAAAATACACCAGACCTCGCGTATTCCACCAGACACATAGCATAACCTTTTCACCGTGCATGCTGGGTTTTTGGGTCGGTTTGGTGCCTCTCCATGATTTAGCCACTGTCATAATTTACCAATGCAGTCATACTGAGTCCATCTCTCATCCAACATCAGAATTGGATTCAAGAAACCACGATTCTTTGAACGGCGCAGGAGAAAATTGACCCCTTCGATGCGCTTCATCTTGTTATCATCAGAAAGTTCGTGTGACACCCTTTTTCCGCATATGTTCGTTTTCCAGAATTGCAATTAGTGTGAAAATAAACTGTCCTCATAGGCAGCGAGTTGTTATGCACAGTTCCAGTTAGCTTGCTTGTCCCAAATTATCGCCGACAACGCTTTTTAGACAAAACTGCATGGTTTGCCTTCCAAGCATTCGTCGACGCTACTGGATTGTTGGAACCAGCGTCAATAGTGATTTTCGAATAGAGCATCTTCTCGAAATACTGACGGAAAAAAGCGGTCAGCTTCGGCGGCTGTTTTCCCGTCTTTGAACTCATGCTAAAAGTAGGTTCAAAAGCGAAAATTTGATTGGGCATCATTTTAAATATTTTTCTGATTCAAAAATTAATTCAAACAATTAAGTAATTATCAACAACAAAGCTAAAGACATGCTCTTTATGATTAAGAAAAAATTAGGCGAAAGCCATCGATTACGGGTGAATTAGAAAACACCAAACATAGCGCGCATTACGTTTCGACCAACCTAATAATTCACAAGTTTGCAGAAAATGTGCAGATTCGATTAATATACATTTTCTTAACAGATTACCAGATTTTTTAAACTATTCATATCTTCCGTCATGATTGGACAACTGATTTCTCATTCAGTGTTTTCTATGAAACTAAAAAATATTTTCTATGAAACTGATGAATTCGCTTTGAAAAAATCCTATCATTAATCCTAATCATGCTACAGTAATTTTAAGGACTTAGCTTCAATTTTTAACAGTTTTTAATTCTGTGGAATGTTCAGAAGAGTGTAGACCAGACACGGTCGGAAAATATTTTTCAGATTCTAATTTCTATTTTGATTTTCAAAATTTCGCCTTGAAACTTTTCGGTACCCCGAAAACTCCTATTTCAAAAATCAGAAAATCACAAAGAGAATAACCCCTCCTCAAAAAATCATTAAAGGAAACAGAACACACTTCTTCTTTTCCTCCCAGCTAATTGTATTACTCATCCTAAACGGAGGACAAAGTACAAAGTATTCTCTCCCTACAGTCATACCATTCCCTTCCCATCACTTACCACCATCATTTGATTAGTCAGTGGAGGTTGTTGGGTTACTGTAGCTGATGAAGAAGAAGAACATGCTTCAAGCGGTTTCTCATCAAACATTTGAAATGACCAATCATCATCATCTGGACTCATCGATTGTCTTGTTGATGGAGAATTGCTGTGGGGATCCGAGTTTGTGTTTCGAGAGTTTTTTCGACGGGTGCACGCAAAGTTTTCTTTTCGGGAACGGACCACTGGAAGTAGGGGAATTTTGAAGAGGTGAGACATGCAGGAAAATCAATGTTTTGAAAAATATTTTTATGCATGACATAGTTGAAACACACAAAATTTTGAAAACCGTTTCGAATCGTGTTCATTAAGATTGAAATGTTTTATCTAGCTGCATGGTTGTTTATTTCTTGATGGATGAATCATAAAGTTTACAGCTAACTATTTTAACAAATTTATTGTTTTCGATAGTTTTCAGGAATCCTAGCATCACCGATGAGTTTGCCTCTAATTTTGGGTAGAAGTTAATAACCTTCTCGATTTTCTGTATTCTTTGACTATTTTAAAGTTTACTGTATCAAACTGTCAACAATTATTGTTTCAACATTTTTCGTATAGTCGGATCGGGTTTCTCGGTTCCTATATGAGCTATCAAAAAACGTTTAAATGGGAAAATGTGCATAATAATGTCAAAAACATAACGTCAATTAAGCACTTTTCAAAATCATTCAAAAGGAAAAAAAATTGGCTCAAAGTTACTGTTTAGATTTTACGGTATTCCTAATGAATTTTTAAAGTTTCCGGTTTCAAACTATCCAAAATATATCATTTCAATACTCATTTCTAGTAGTTTCTTCTTGTCAATTGGCCACTTTTTGATATCTGTTACATGGACTGAGGTAAATTATTTCAAAGTCCTATATTCCTGAACAACTCTAAAATCTACTGTATCAACCTGTGTATATTTGTTTCATTTCAACATTTATTTTAGATATTGAATGTTTATTTAGTTCAACGAATTCCAAAAATATCTAACTTACATTCGGATTTCATCCCTGCAGAATAGCACTTTCGAAGTCGACACTCCCGACAGACGAGACGCATGCCTGGAAAATCTAAACTCCCAATTATTGTTCAAGTTTCTGTTATTCATCATTATTACTGTTCTCGAATTCTTGTTGTTGTTAATAGCAAAACGAAACATAAAATTATTTTTTTTCGATTTCAAGTTTCCCTAAAGAATTGCTGTTTTACCATTTCTTCAACTCTGGTAACGTACAAGTTGTCTTCGCTCAAATTAAAATAATTTTCCCAATTTTCCAAAGAAAAAAAAACATCCCCTTTGTCCAAAGATTATGGGTAAACAACATTTGCAAAACTTATTTTTGAAAGTCAAATACAAAATAAATACACCTGCTCAAGACTAATTTCTAATTTATTTTTTGGTGACACCTGTCTACAGTAACCCAAATTATCAGACCACCAGCAAAAAATAGTTACGGATGCGTCTTTTTCCGCCTCAGTGTACCTGTCCCAATTGCTTGTTGCCCTGATAATTGTGCTGGGTACAAAGAACGCAAATTTGCTAGTGATAAGAATCATAATAGGTTTTTTGTTATCAGACAAGGAAAAAGTAAGAAAATCGCACAGTTTTACTAGTGATAAAGAGCAGAACACAGAAACATGGGTCTGAAATTCGCAAAGATAAAGTAAAATGTGACTTCGGATAGTAAAAAAAAGTTTGTAAGATTTTCTGATTCACTTATCCAATTTCAATGAAACGGAAGAATTAATTGTCACTAATTTAGTAAACTATAAAGTCATCTTGAAGTTAGAAAGATTGATGGATCAGGCAACTTATTTTCCATTTACAAGAAGTCTGTAAACTTTCAACGTTGAGTCAATTTATCCAACTTTCTGTTACAGATCTCAAAAAGTAAGTAGTCAACTGGATTAAGGTTTTTGATATAAAAACAAACATTTAGTTCGGTGACTACGTTTTGCGTCCTTTCACAAAAACCGAGATAAATTGGACGAAAGTTAATGATAGAAAACTTACTAAAATGAATCTCGCATGGTTCAACGGCAGCACACTCGTACTTCAAATCAAGTGCAATTGTTCGTCGAAAGAATGCTGCGCAGGCCTGGAAAATTTTGAATTGAAACACTTGGGATTTTGATACGAAGCTTGAAAATGTTATTTGAAAATTACATTTGAAACTGTAATTTATAAGAATTATTCTAGAGAATTGAAAACCAATTTTATGTCTATAGCCTACGCTTAATAGGAAGTTGCAACCGCACAAAATTATTTCAATGTTTATATTAATAAAATTATTTTCGGTTTCATGTAACTTACAAATTTGATATACTTTTTGTTCCAGTAATTGCACAATTCCATTTAGAAAAAAACAGTTAACAATGTTCCATTTCCATTTCTTTCTATTTCTTTCACGAACCAAGAAGAATACTGTATTTCCTCTAACAGACCTTCACTTGTATTTTGAATTCAATTATCTCGGTTTTTATGAAAGATATCAAAAAATGGTAAACTGATAAAACATTTTTGATATTATGATAAACATTTTATCTGTTGACAAAATTTTCCTATCTCTCATAGAAAGCGAGACCTGAAGCCCTACAGTAATCATGAACTTAAATTTACTTTTTTCAATAGCCGTTAAATAATTTTAGAAACCGAAATCAAGCAAAAAATTTGCTTGATTTCGGTAAGTTTTCATTCCCTTTCTCAATCGTGCTTGACCTAGATTTCTAAGTTTTAAAAGGTAATCTATTGATTAACTCATTTTAAAAACACTCACTTTACAACACCTCCCACCAAAATGGAGTGTAAACGCTGTCGGCGATTCGCAAACTGCACATTGTGGTCCCATTTCTGAAAAATTGCTTTTTCTTTCAAATTAGCACTTGTATGACAAAAATATGCGAAATTTTTGTAAATGAGCTTTTACGAGCAGTAATGCAATAAAGATCATTGAAAAAAGATTCAAATATGTCTGAAACAGCAAAAAATGAGAAGCCAAATGAGCAAAAATAAACATGACTTTTCCGGTGTCAAGTCCATCAAATCACACATCATAGATGAGCCAAGATGCTAAGATTCGTTTTTGGTTGTTCTTTGAAGACAGTCAAAAAGAAGACTCAGCCCATTTGGGTGGGGCGTCGGCGGGAAAAGAAATGGGGGCGGAGCTTAAAATCAAAACGGAGACTGGATGTTATATTTATCAGCTTGATGAACAGTAAGTTATGGAAATGGATATTTTGGAACCGAAAAAAAATTAAGAAGAAAATGCAAAAATCAAAGAGTGAAAAAACAAAATGTTGAACATGTTAAAACAAATACAAGGAGTTGAGAACAAAAATGAGTGTGATTTTTGGAGAACACAATAGTGCAAATAAAAATAGGAAAATTTCACAGTTTCGAAAAGATGAGAAATTTCTAGAAAAAAGAAAGTTCTGATCATCAAAACTAATCGAGAATTTAGGTCTGCTTATAATTCTTTACCGACAACGATTTGGGAAAGTTTTACAATTTTTAGGGCTATATACACTATCAAGGTCAGGTAATATCTGCTTGTTTAGCAGCTAACAATAAGACGAGCTTCAAAAACAGCAAAAAATATATCAATTTAAAAAAAAAATCGTTGAAGAGAGGAGGACAAACAACGTATTAAAAAATGGAAAGAAAATCTAATCTTTTCGAATTTCAGATTTCATTCGTTCAAAAAAATGAGTTAAAATTAGCTATTTTAAAACCGTTCCAATATTTATGGAATCTCTGAAACAGAAAAAAAGTACGAAATAAATTTTTTTTTCATCCTCGCACGAAACAAAAAATAGGTGTTAGACACCGGAACAGACAGGTTTTTTCTCTTTTAAAGAAGCTTCATTCTTTTAAAAAACTCCCCATCACCCAATGTGCGCCAAACGCAGAAAATTCAAAAGATCAACTACCAAAAGATTGGAGATCAACGACTCAAGAAAAAAGAGGGAGAGAGCAGGCAGCCCCGGTGTGTGAAAATATTTTAAAGGTGTTTTGAGAAAATAACAAAAAGTTTAGAAAATACCGGAATTGATTTTTGGGAAAATTGAGAAAGGGAAGTTTTGAAATGGCCGATTCAATTACCGTAATTACTCAAAATTCACCAAAACGGTCAACGTTGATCCCACATATCGCATTTTCTTTAAAAGATGTCAAAAAGTGGTCAACTGACAAAACGTTAATCATAATGTCAAAAATGTTTTATCAGTTTGTCACTTTTTGATATCACTCACTTACAGGAACCTATATAAATGGACACAACGTTTAAAGCTAGAGGAGTCGTTCTATTATGGTGTTTACGATGTTGTTTATAATCGCAAATACATAGGATTAAAACAGATAATAATAAAAAGTTGGAACAGAAAACTTTAGGAGTGTAAAAAATTTTTGAAGAAAAACATAGTAAAAATGTCTGTAATGAATTTCTAGTACATCACTTATTCAAATTTTCAGAAGTAAAGATCAACCAATGGAAACAATTTTCCTTTTTTTCAATTTATTTGGACATGCAAAAAATTTTAAAACCTGAATCTTCACTTCAAAAATTTTCTCGGTTTCCCAAAACCCACAAGATTGAACTATCTGGATCAAAACTTTTGAGCTATGTGAATAAGGTATAAAAATAGGTATGTAGAAAATTTTCAAGTACCCGCCGATACGAAAATTTCTCTGTTTTTCATTTCCGCCGCTTTTCTAGATGTGGCCTGGAATTTTCAGTTTAGCAGGAATCGGAAATTTTTCGAGAACCTTTTAGAAGTCTCCAGAAATGAAATGACTGTCGAGATTTTGTAGGCCTCCTTTATCTTCTAATTTTCGATGTTTCAAGCTCTAATTATCATATGTTCTTGCTGTAACTTACGATAGGCAATTTTTTTAATTGAAAACGTTGAAAATGTGTTCAATTTTCTATTTTACTATCAAAATTAAAACTAGTACAGTACTCCGAGAGTTTTAGAAGTTTTAGAACAAGACATGAACCACAAAAACTATTGGTCCATAATTGAAAAAAAATTATGTTTCAATGATGATTTTTTTTTTGAATTCGAAAAAAAGTTATTACTTCGATGCGCGTTACTCTTGGTTTTTCTTCAATTTTGATGTTTTCAAAAAAAAAAATCAAAATTTGAAAGTTTTCCCGGTTTCAGAAAGTCCACAAATTTTAAAGCTATCTGGATCAAACTACTGATACAGATTTATTCCATTTGGATGTGGCGTATGAAGCGCTTCCCTCCCGCCGAAAGGTCCTGCGCCTTTAATCACAATCATGGTAACATTGAAGAAAATGATTTAACTGGTATGGTCAATCAAAAATAGCAACTTCTTTAAAAAATTTTATAGTTCCAAGCCTCTCACGCCATACTTTTTCTGCTGTGGTTTTTCTTTTTATCCAAAAATATTTTTCTAACAAAAAACAAACAAAAAATGGTTTGCTGACGATTGCGTAATTGTGAGGTGAAAAGGAACTTTGTCCAGGACATAGTTTAACTTTGAAATCGGGCAATTTAAAGATAACAGCAAATGTTAAGGGTAAAACTTTGAGCTGGAAGGGATGGGATAGGAAAAACTGAAGAAGCAGTTTTAGAATTCAGAAAAGGGAGTTATTATGATAACGATAAAGTTATTTTTGAAGTCAACAGTTTGGAACAGTTAAAAAATGAGCGATTTCCAAGTCCCCGAATTTCACATTCGAAACTTTCAGATTTTCATTTTTTTTGGGTCAATAAAAAATTATTGTATTTACGATTACCATTATCTGAACAGAATTATCCTAATATTTTTATAATTTGCTTGAAACCGAAACGACTGGAATCCATTTGCTCTTTTTCTGACTTTTAATTTCAAGAAAACATATAAAAAAGAAAATTCATATATTTATGCATCTTTAAATTCCGGTTTCATAGTCAGTACATCGTTTAAAACTTATTTTGTTTTGCGATGGAAGAGAATTAAAAAGTTTAAAAGATTTTTAAAGGTGGGGGGACATGAAAAAAAAATAAATTTTTCGAAATTCCGTTTTTATACGCCCCTCGTGGAGTTGAACTGGGGGCGAGGATTGAAGGTGCGGCGCCGCTACCGACTGAGCTTCGCGGGCAAAGAAAAAGCGGCAGCCAGATTGCATACATAAAGGCAAGGACGACAGCTGTACGCAGAGTGACATTAAGCGTTGTACACCGTCACGGTAGAATACATACTCTGGCCGCGAAAATCCCCCGTAAAATCTCCTGTCCCTCCACCTTTAAAATTCAAAAGCAAAGCTTGAAAATTTTGTAGTGTTTCCAGACTTCCGGCAACAAGTCTTCAGACTGTGCCAAAATGAAATGAGAGTAAAAATCTGTTCTGTGATCTCATTTTGTGCAAATGTGCACAAACTACGGAGATCTTCGAATAGTGATCTTACAGATTAGATTTTGTAGTAGAGAGAAATAATCGAAGCAAGGATTGAAAAAATGAGAAGATGGCAGATACATTTTCAAAAAAATCCATGAAAACTTATCAACATTTGTTTCTAGCGTTCATTGAAAAATTCACGACACACGAGAAACTGATTGGTATAAACACTGATCACTGTACACCGTCCCGTCAGAATGCGCACTTCAGAAAACTTCAAAAAGTTCAGTTAGGATAACCGTTAAGAGTAAAATGTACATTTTTCTAGGCGAAATTCTGAAACTTGAAATTTCTACAAAGTGTTCTGAAAAATTGTTTGATAAATTTCCTACAAGCTACATTAGTGAATAAGACTAAATTAAATAAGATAAACCGATCAATGATTTGAAAAATTTTTCAAATAGTAATTTTTCTATATCTACTTCTATGGATTAGTAAACGACACTGTATTCAGAAGAATAATGCAGAATCCTGGAACGGAAAAAAGATTGAACTTGTTATGATTCCGGAGAAAAATGTTTTAAATTTACTGTTTCCCACCAGTTTGAAAACTTTGATTCAATTTTCGAAGTTATTGTTGAGGCTGGATCTAGTTTAACAGTTCAAAAACCATATAGAAAAGTTTTTCTGTTCAAAAAGTTCGCCTCCCATTCTTCCCCATTTGCCAACTACGAGTCACAAATAGCTCACAAAAAACGAGACACACAAAAAATGCTGACAATTTCTGTCATCATAGTTTTCAAAGGACAGTAGCAAATAAGAATGGACAGTGATGAACAGAAGAAAGATTTATGACAATTACGAAATGTTGAAGAAGTAATTATGGGATAGATGAAACGGTAAATAAGAAAATACAAGTATGGAGATGAAAGGTCAATCAGTAAAACATAAGAAGAAAATAAACGGAAAACTCTGCAGTTTGAAGATTTGAAAAAAAAACGGACAGTTTCAGGAACATGTGATAAGAATGGTCAATTTTAAAATTGATAATCCCTCGATGTACAAACAAACTGGTACACAAATCAGAAATAGTATTTCGAAGGGTAAAATCGAGTTTTAATTATGCTTTGCCTCTTTTTCAAATTCTAAACTATTTTTGACGATTTTTCAAACGTTTCGCATAAGATTTCAGTAAATTTTCCTAAATAACTACAAAAAATTGAAAAATGGTCAAAAATGGGCAAAAATCTTCAAAAAAATAGACAGAAAACAAGAAAAATAGGCAAAAAAATAGAAAAGAAGTAGGATGTTTGGCACATTTTTCTAACGAAATTCCGTAATCAAAACAAACTGACAGGAAAGTTTTTCGCAAAAATTTTTTCTTCCTTATTTTATTTAATGGTGGGGGACAGGAGATTTTACGGGGGATTTTTAGGGCCAGAGTATGCATTCTACCGTGACGGTGTACAACGCTTAATGTCACTCTGCGGTAGCGGCGCCGCA